GGGGGTGGGGACAAATTATGTCAATTTTGTACATAATTAAAGACAGCTAATATAAATTGGGTCGTTTTTAGATTGTTGTCTTATTGGATCTCAGTATGCTGTCCATTGTTGTAAAGCACTATCTAGATGCGCATTTAATAAGCAAAAAACACAAACCAAATTAGAGCATCTCCATTACCATCCACCATCCCACAGTGTCTCCTCCAGTGTTTGAGTACTGGGGAGGTCGCTACAAAAGAACCAAAATATCACTATGCAGATTACTTGCTTTACTCACACCAGTAGACCAGCAGTTTTGGTAAAGAAAACCTAATTATCACAAAATTGGTTTTAGTCCTTTATGTTAGCAGAGACTGATAAACTTCCGTCAGTGTGTGGTTCTCAGAGGTGACCTTGGTTAATTACAGCTCTTAAGATGTGTGGACGGGGCCTGCGGTTCGGCTTTCAGGGACACAAAATCTTCCTCCAGTCCTGTCCGAGCCACCCGCAGCCTACAATGGTGACCCAGTGGTATGATAGAATTACGTGTCGCGTGACTTTGATAGCATGGCCAGCTTGCCCTTTTCAAAAAACATAACATAATACTCTCCAAATATAATCAGATGGAAAAGGTAATTGGATTATTGCAAAAGAGGAACAGGCAATTACGGCATCTCTGGAGGACATTTCAAGTTTTTCGCCCCAGCCTGTGCTTTGTGATTGAGGGTCGTGATCTTCAGCATGTCGTGTTTACGGAGCGTTCACCGCCTCCCATGGGCACACAAAGGATGCTTTATATGCATGTTTTATTTTTGCACGTGTGCTTTTCAGTTGTCCTTTCCTGCAATATTTTTGTATTACATATAACCATTAACGTATCACGTAAAAAGAGCTATTCTTCTTAACAAACCCTGAAACCGATATTGAGTTGTTGGGTATTTCCCTGTGGATGCTCATAAATGCTCTTCGTGCATTTCTAAACTGAGCTCATTAACCAGTAAGCCGACGAGAAACCTCCATGCCTGGAGTTGCGCTCCCTCCGAGAGCGTCCATTAGAATGGAAATCAGCTTATTTCCCGGCCCACTTATATCTGCAGGTTTTTGTGTATTACTGTGGTGACAGTTAGTAGGACTTTGACTTGGGCCTGATTGTTATGCTGATTTTTTTTTTATGCCACATTTGTGGAAATATCTAAACTAAACATGTTTTTACAACGGCCCACCGCCATTATGCATTCATCTGCTGCTCAGCATATATATCCCACTTAAAACAATCAAAGAATGATCTGAAATTTCAAGCAGAAAGCCATGATTTATTTTAGCGATTGTGAAACACTGCACATATTGAATACTTTTATAGAAGATTTTATTTGGTGCACTTGGTGTACAATAAAATGGACCTGTGAAAGCGTAAAAAGGTTTATATGGGGCCAGTCATTAGATTGAATATGTTTGCAGGGTGGAACTGATTATTCAGACTGTTGGATGTGCTGTTGGTACTGAAAACTCAGTACAGGTTTTCTGCATATCTCAATTTAAAAGAATCATAATCAGGCATTAGCAAACAGATGTCTTCTTATCGACTATATGAACCGCTATGGATCTGTTTGGGTCAAACCTGCAGTTGGTTGTCTAATTAAGAGCTTGCCTTGGGTTCATTAACAATGATTAATTCCTCTACCTGCTGTACATTGATTGTATTGGTGAATGACAAATGAATTTATGTTACATCAGCTAACTATTTCCAATTGAAAACCTCAGAGAGAAAGGTGCAGAGCGGCACTAATAAATAAGCAAATTAAAGAAGAAAAGAGAATTGGGTAACACTATATAATAGCTTTCATTAATAAGCCATTAACACAATGCTTAAGAGATTAGAAGTTTATTTACATTCAAATATGAATGCATTAAAAATACAAATCAAGTTTCAGAGCATTTCTAACCATCTGAATTAGAGCTGTCAAATCGATTAATCACATCCAAAATAAAACACATTTAAATCATAAATCATATTTAAATATGAATATACATATATTTGTAAACATATCTTAAATATATACATGTATGTGCGTGTTTTTATATATACACATAAATAGCACACACGTATACATTATGTAAACACAAACTTATTTTGGATGCGATTAATCGTGATTAATCGATTTGACAGCACTAATCTGAATGAATTGAACGATCTGTTGAGCATTATAATAAAATACACTGGGTAACTATTACTATTTAGATTGTCTTCATAATCTTTAGTAAAAATCTTCAAATTTGGGGTGAAAAATGTGAGAGTAAATAATTGGGTGGACTATTGATTTATCATGATGAGTTTAAAGGAAGACATTAAAGTAGGGCTGGGCAAAAAATCGAATGCGATTTTCATGCGAATCTCGTCAGTAAAGCCGCTTCTGGTGATTAGTAATGCATTAAAAATACAAATCAAGTTTCAGAGCATTTCTAACCATCTGAATTAGAGCTGTCAAATCGATTAATCACATCCAAAATAAAACACATTTAAATCATAAATCATATTTAAATATGAATATACATATATTTGTAAACATATCTTAAATATATACATGTATGTGCGTGTTTTTATATATACACATAAATAGCACACACGTATACATTATGTAAACACAAACTTATTTTGGATGCGATTAATCGTGATTAATCGATTTGACAGCACTAATCTGAATGAATTGAACGATCTGTTGAGCATTATAATAAAATACACTGGGGTCCAAAAGTCTTATATTATGTATTTAAAAACTGAGTGAAAAGTATAATTGGAAAATGTAAATGAATTCTAAATGTCTTAGTATTTGCATGCCGCCCAGCACTTGAGCTGTGTGAACTGCACCAATTTGTGTAAAACTGATGATCAAGTTTTCCAGCGTTTCATTAGTGACCTTGAAATGCAGAAATTATATATTCTTAATTTTTTCTTTTCTGTTTTTACAATTTTAAAACCTAAGAGATATTCCATATATGTGTGTATTTATTTATTTATCATATTCACATCATCAATGCAGTGTCAGACTGTTGTTAATTAAACCATCTGTTTGATCCAAAGTTAAAGTTTGCATTCAAGCCTTTAAATAAAAAAAGCTAACAAAAAAGCTGTCACACCTGCTTAGCAGTTTCTTTTTCAGTTTCTCAGTTTATGAATACTGGTACTAACTGAACAGACTGCAGTGTGTGTCAAAAAAATATCTTTGTCTTATAATATACGTGAACAGTTGTTGAAGTGTTAAAGTGTTTGTTTCCCCAATGAAAACAAAAGTTTTATCATTAACTACTCAGGTGCTACTTATGATTTTAAACCCATATGCTGTTATTTTTATCAGTGGAACACAAAGTAGAACAACATACAACAACTTATATATATATATATATATATATATATATATATATATATATATAAATAAATGTCATAAATGCACAAATATCATTAAAGAGGTCTGCGTAACAAGTCTTCTGAAGGCAGATGAAGGCTTTGTCTGAGGAAAAGACCAACATTTAAAATCGGCATAAAATCAAAACTACTATTAACTATTACTATTTAGATTGTCTTCATAATCTTTAGTAAAAATCTTCAAATTTGGGGTGAAAAATGTGAGAGTAAATAATTGGGTGGACTATTGATTTATCATGATGAGTTTAAAGGAAGACATTAAAGTAGGGCTGGGCAAAAAATCGAATGCGATTTTCATGCGAATCTCGTCAGTAAAGCCGCTTCTGGTGATTAGTAGTAAATCTCCAGCACGTGCTTTCAGATGGAGCAGCATTTACTACACAGAACCGTAGATCACTACACAAAAATCGCAGGCGATTCATTGCCGATTTTGAACGCGATTTTGTGTAGCTTGTCAGTGAACTACGGCTCTGCGTAGTAAATGCCGCTCCATCTGAAAGCACGTGCTGGAGATTTACTAGGCCTACTAATCACAGGAGCGGCTTTACTGATGAGATGCGCATGAAAATCGCATTAAAGGAAGAAAAACTGTTCTCCTTGTCTTCCTACAGTTTTTAGACTCACCCAGGATCTTTATCAGATTCAGTTCAGACCCCAAACTCCTCTGTTGAGCTCTCTCAGCTTCTTCTCAACACTCCTTTCCTCTTCTCCCCCTCTCCGCTTTCTTTTCGGCTTTTCCCTCTCTCTTTCTCTCATTCACTGTGCCTCTGCACAGATGGTCCTCATTAATAAAGCAAGCCAGACTTTCACCCTCTTTTGAGTGTGTGTTTCTGAGAGAAAGAGGAGGAATCAATGAGCAGCAGATTGGCTCACTCCTGTTAATTATGCTAAAATATTGTTAAGCGCAGGAAATTAATGTGGCAAACAGGATGCGATGTAACAGCTTACCGCTGGGGCTTAAGCCCTGATGGAGAGGAGATAGAAACAGGCCGGTGGAAATGTTTTGGAGTTTATGTTCTTTCAAGCATATCTTGTAAAGCATGAGAAAACCAGAACAATAAAAACTATGAAGGCAAATGGAAAGTAGTTTATTTTCCAATTGCATGAATCCACAGTGCAGTGCAACAAGAACTGGGATGGTTTGCTCCTGTAATGGAGGAGGGAATACAAATCCATTTCCAATTTAGATCGAAGAGCAGATCTTATTTCATCTCTTCACCTTTCTAAGTTAAAGTGTTGAGGTAATGTATTACAAGTAATGCGCGTTACATAATCAAATAAGGGTTTTTAAATAACAACTTATGAATAGCTTTACTTGTTAAATTTACTTCATAATATCCACTTCCACCCTGGAGGAAAATACCTCTGTGAGAAAACCAAACGTAATTTACCTTTTCATAGAAAGTTACAAAGCAAAACGAAAGTAACTTAAGTTTCCAAAAATATTAGTCATGTTATACAAAAGTAATAAAAAAAAAAAAGTGTCTACACTGCACTTCAATAATGCGACTAAAATAGGAATACTCCACATGTCTTAATTCGATTTGTGTTACTTCGAGTATGACTTTAGTCGGATTAAGGTAATCAAAAATCTCATGTTTACATGGTAGATTCTTAATAGTGTTAAAATCGGATTATTGTTGTCCATGTAAACATACTCAGTGTCATTAGATAGGTTAGATTGGTTTTCTACGCTGTTAAAAAAGTACAGCATGTCATGACATTTTTTCCCTTTATTTTATAATGTTAACTTAACTTGATTAAACTTTTTCTGACAATTTATTTCAATTTAATTAGAAATTACTCAAAGCCACACTGACTCAAATTTAGGCAGCTAAGATTTTTTTCTTAGCAGTAATTTGTTCAGTAATTTATTTACAGTAACACATCTACCCACTATTTAGGATAACAGCTTTACCTACTCTACACAGTGAAATTAAACCAATAAAAATACAATAGTACATTGGCAACAAATAATTACAGATGAACCCTTCCTGGACACCAGGAACTCTTCCTACTGTAGCTGGGTATAGACAGGATTTCCCCCTCCTCTAACCAATAGCCTACTATAGATATAGTTATGCATTGCAGTGAAATAGGCTACCTTACATATGTACTATAGCTGCTAGTGGAAATGACACTGATCTACTGAGCAGAAAGAACAGTTTATTATTATTAATATGTGTAATACATATACTGCCTATTGTTCAATAAATATAAAAACAGTAGGCCTATTTATGATTTGAAACTAAAATAAAGTGTTAAAATGAAGATATACAGGTAGTTAATGTACTTTTTGTGGAAACCTTAAAAATACTCTAGTGTTTGATCTTTGACTTTAAATGCAAACTCTTAATGTTATGCTAATCAGCTCCCAACCAAGTCATTGTACGCGCTAATTTTGAACTCAGGATAAACCGGCAATGATCAATCCCGAAATGACGTTGATTGACAGAACAAGGCCCGCTTTGTTTTTAGAATACATCACGATCCTGCCAAAATAAATGATGATAACTAACATACCTGCATCACTAGCTGCACTTTCTCTGCGTGTCTGTTTATCTAGCAGCCCGCAGACGCTGCGTTCGTTTGGGCGCCAACTTAAGTCACCCATTTAACGTTTGTCAGCTGCAGAAAAGTTGAATTTTTGGCGTTTTCTTCATCGTACCCTGTCACTTCATACATTCAGAGGGTGGGACCCACTTGGAAACGGTGACATTAATTGGTTTAACTACAGGTGAGTGACAATTCATCTATCCAATGAATCTCTCTAACCCTGAGGTAGCGCTGGCCCGCATTAACGTAATTGAACGCAATTTAAACCTAATTTAAAGCTGCAGTCCATACGTTTTGCCTCTTTGTATATGAATAAAAGTAATGTAACAAAAAAGTAACAACACAAAAACAAAACAAAACAATGTAACACAAAGTAACCTAATTTTCTATTTTAAAAAGTTTCATAAATGAAATTTTGGTAAAATGCCGTTTATGTGTGAACTGGACCTTTTCAAAAATACTGGTAAATAAGTTCTGCCAATTCTTCTGGGTTGTAAAGTTGTAACATTACCAGTAAATTCTAAAACTAAATGTGTAAAAGGGGCCAATTTGATATAAAAGTAGCCTAACAATGTAGCACAAAAGTATCTTAACATTTCATAAAAAGTATGTAACATAATTAGTTACTTTTTATAATGAGTAGCACATACAGTAGTAACATAGTACGTTGAAAAAAAGTAACGTTGTCCAACCAAGCTAAATTGCTTTAATGAAATGATATTCGTCAAATGGTGCTCTCGTGTTTATTTAAGACGTTCTTGAATCAAGAAAATCTGATCCATTCAAATAAGAGAAAAGAACAAATGGGATGCAGACATTTTTTTTTTCAGATTAGGAATCCTCCAGGATTTCTGAATCTAGATGAAGTGTTCTTTTGACGTCCTGCAGTCTCTGCTGGAGTTGTTTTATGGTCATACAGATCCCGCGGAAGGGACTTTAACTAGTTTTGTTTCTCGTGTTATTTGTGCGTTAGGTCCACGCTGGGTGACACGCAGCAGGATAACTGTGTCGGCAATGAGATCGCTGGGCTTGATTTGTTAAGAGTAAGACATCTTAGTTGCCCCTTCTTTATCTTGTTAGGGGGTACCTAGGGTGCAATCTACCAGCTCTATCCTGAACCAGGCATGGGCATCTCACACTGAGAGTTTGATAAGACATCGACTGTTGGGCTTTTGATTGCTAAAAGGTCAAGCTGAGCTTTGTTATCGCACAAGAGAACAGTGGAGTGGCGGCACACGGGAACGTGACAGGAACACAGTCACCGTTCACAGTAAATTTACCGGAGATGAGAGACGCTGGCGGACTCCAGAATACCAATCAGTTCATCTCGCTGAAGAGATACAGCACTCAATATGCTAATTAGCAAAGAGTGCTTTCGTTTATTGTTTTCTGGAGACTCCTCACTTTTCTGTCTGTCACACATGAGTTAGCGGGTGGTTTGGAAAATGATAGCAAAGGGCTGCTGTTTGTAATGCTGATTCCTCGTTCTGTCGCTGTGTGCACTTGGATACTTTGACTATTTTAGGTGAAACGGAAAGCTAAATGAACGTTACATAAATAGTGACAATGTAACATAAACGTAATGAAACAATCTATAAAAAGTAATAATATCATTTGAAAGTGACTTGACTTTCAAAAAAAAAAGCAACAATGTAACACGTAACATTCTTTAAAAAGTAACACTGTAACACAAGAATAACCCAACATTTTATGAAAAAAGTATCTTACATGAATCCTTACTGATATTACTTGTGAACAGGACCTTTTCAAAAATACAGATAAATCAGTTCTGTCAGTTTTCTGGTTAAGTATTTATAGTTACGAAACTAAAGTGCCTCTCCTCATCCATGCATTTTGTTTTACATTTGGATTGCTACCAACAATATCAGCGTACTGCAAGCTTCAGAAACCTAAAATCTTTTATGTACTTGCCTTAGCGGTGTACTGTCGCGGATGACTGAGTTCAGTACTCACACACAATCCCATAGCGATGTCTTGCTTATCATTTAATGATAGAGAAAAGTTGGCCCAAAAAAGAGTTACTGGCAAATTTATTCATTAAATCATTTGCACACTTTGTGTGGATGAATTAAATTATTAAAGGAAGATTTTGGCCTACTCATAGAGGAACGTTGTTTTGGTAATCATGTGATTTGACCTTTAGCTCAACTCTTCAGCATGGATAAATATGATGGTTTGATGGCACCGGTCTTCCTGTGGTTACAGCCGATCATTTTATCACAGCGAATGTCAAAACAATGTTAAATAGACTTAATGAAAATACGAATATATGTATTTTGAGCAGGTCTTTTGACTAATTTGAAATAAATAAATTGGGTTACAGAAGTTAGGCAAGGTTTCGGATGATTACTCAGATGGTTGCCTTATTGAACGATCCATTGTTAATAACGTTGCTCATTAGTTATGGCTATAGATTTTCAGAACTATTAATGCATCTCCCACCACAGCACACATGCGCTGCAATAGCCAAACCGTATTATCCTTGAGGATGTGATGTAACCATGCAAAGATGAATGATGTCAAACTGACATTTTGCCACAAAATCTGACCTGACAGCTTGAATTATAAATCATTATTGTGCATTGGGCCAAGTAGTTTGGAAAAGTTTTTTTATGTACTTGTGCAATAAATGATCTTTGTTCATTTTTAGTAAAAAGAAAAAAAAACACACTATAGTGCAGCTTTAAAGCTTAACATGTTTGAAATATAAATGAAACCACTGATTTTACAGTGTAATATAGAAATCACACAACACATATTGGAACTGCTGTAATATCAAAATAAATTAAATTATTAGTTAAAAATGTAAAATAAATGGTACAGTGAAAAAATAAATAATTTGCAAGTAAATTTCACAAACAATTATAAAGATACAGAATACACTGAGTTAAAGTAGAAATTTTGAAGTAGAAAAAATTTAAAGTATTTTCTAGTAAAACACTCTAATGATCTTGTTTTGCTTACAACTTCAAAAACATTTTTTTTACAGTGTATACATGGTAAACTGTGCTAAATAAATGTGATGCTATTTAACATTTATCTCCTCAAATACACTAAAATAGATTATATGAATTGAAGGATTTTAAACATGTTCATCACTGAAGTTATTCATATGTAAAAATATAACATAAGATTGTACATTTGTGTATCTATCCAAACATGAAAAAATTCATGTGCAAGAGCCATGCTTTATGTATAAAATCCTATGAATACTAATGAACTCATGTAGGCGTTTTTAATTCTGAGTGCTGTCCAGTTGCTGATCCTGTAAATAAAAACCATCTTTTTTATTTTATTTTTTTTTTTTAATCTTTGCACTCTGATAAAACAAAAAAGATAAACTTGTCATAAAACTAAGGTCATGTGGAGTGCATTGCAACGTGGGATACAATATTCCACAGAGTGCTCTCTAGTTGTTTACTGCTCTTTTTTTTTGTACAAATGTGAACTCATCCAGATATTCCATGCATAGAGAACATTCACATACTGTGCATAGTGTATACATATGCAATGCTGGGAAGTATGCCGTTTCAAACCAATCTCACGGCGTCTCACACCAGTTTAACCTTTGACCCCTTGCAAATGAAGCAGATAATTGAATTAAATAAACCATTTAAAAAAAAAAAAAGAACTTCAGTGCCTGTGGTGCGAAATTAAAAATAATTCCTTTTCTTATAGGTTACAATGTTTGTTTGAAAGACTGTGAAAATTCGGTTTCCACAAACAAAATAAACGAAACACGTTCCACAAGATTTTCTTTTCATATAATACGAACGTAACTGTCAAATGGTTTTATGTGATGTTACTGACATTTGACTGACACAAAATATTTTCCATATGGTGAATTATAAGCCCTTCATATACCATATTTATTAATGTATAAATACTTCATATTTCATAATGCGATGCATTACGGGCGATATTCAAGATGCGTAATTTCCAGGAGGCCCTGGTGTCATGGAAAGGGGTATTTTCTAGAATCTTCCATCATTTCCTGTTTCAGCCGTCTGGTAGGAAACAGATAATACCAAATTGGGGGAAAATTGTCCAAATCTGTGCACAATTACCCCCATCTCTCCTCAGTAAGACTCCCCTGGCACGGTGCTTTCCATCGCTGCATGAGACCAAGCTCAGCACTCAGTCCAATCAGCCTCCATTTTCTGACCCTCTCACAAACATTACTGCAAACTACAGCCGTTCAGATGCATTTACTGCCATCCCTTCCCAAATAGTAGAGCATTTGGACGCAAGGTGTCCGACAAATAGATCAAGAGAATGAGACGTTTAGAAATAGGAAATGTGTTGTCAGTGTGAAAGGAAGTTTTCAGAGTCCTGGAGGGTCACAAGGCCAGCAGGGATTAAGTTATTGAATGACACGGCTAAATTGGTGGATAATCTTTCTTTCTTTTTGTTTTTTTTAGAAGTTAGAAACATAAAAACCAAGGAAGCGCTTTCATGTTGTCTGGTCTCTGTGTGATTGATCCATTACCTTATCTTTGAAGGCGTCTCTGGAGCTCATTTGGCCTGGTCTGAGATCCTTTGCTTTCATCAAAACACGAGTAACCCTGATGAAAAACGGCTATCGTTTAAAAAAAAAAAAAAAAGTTGACCAGAAGCTAAAACAGATTAGTCTTGGAGGTTCTGAGATACCTCAAAGTTTTCCAAACCTAGTGAGCTGCCTGCAGAGGGAGCAATTCAAGGCATCGTAGATACACTCGACATGAAAACTGTTCCAAAAGGTTGATAATTGCCTCGATTTAGCCATATTCTAAGTCAGTATTGCATATATTATTCCAAGAATGCACTGCAACAACATCATACAAGGCACTTACCTTAAACTTATATATTGTTCAGTTCTGAAAAGTAATACAAAATTAAGTGTATCATGCTTAAGGAACATGCTCAGTTTGTTGCATATGCATATGATTTTTATTTTATTTTAGCATTTACTTTTTATTTAATACCATTCAAAAGGCTGGGGATTTTCTTTCTTTCTTTTTTTTAAATACATTTTTAAAGGGGTCATATGATGCTATTTTAAAGATC